GTAATTTCAAATTATATTAATGTGTCTCCATACTCTCAGCACATGGGAGTTCTTTCTAAGCTTTCTTTGATTTTTATTTAGTGGAGAGTTAACTTAATGTAATTTGCAGGTACCAGTCAACAATTGATTGCAATCGTCAAACCAAAGTGACCTGCATCTCGATCTAGACCCACCTGCCTATAGTGACCACTTTAGGCAGTTCCAAATCATAATGTATGAGCAACATGTGTATAAAAACCACCTCTTTATATGTAGCTACCAATATTTTTGCAGATTCACCTTGTTCAGAGATAATTAGCATTCCGTTTATTTTTTATTGTTAAAATCTTTTGATCAAATCAAATACTGTAGAATACTTTATTTTCGTTTGAAATTTATTTTCGCTATTTTCGCTGAAGGAATGATTCAGTGAAAATAAAATCCAGCGAATATACCTTTTTTCCTAAATTTTACATTCAACTTGTCAAAAATCAATGAAAATAAATTCCATACAAAGCACCAAAAATGTCTTTTCAGCAAAAATTAATTCCAGCTAAAATAAAGTATTTTACAGTAAATGCTTTTTTGTTGCAACAGTACTATCACATTATTTTCTAGACAAATATTTTGGCAAATGTACATGTATGAGTTGGTGAGCAATAAAAAAAATTACATCCTCCATGTAAAGACCATTTCAATAAAGTCTTTTGAGTGGTTACTATACACGTTTGAGTTATCTAAATCCACACCATGTAACATATTTATATTTTATATAATATATTTCCATTATAAATATGGAATTCAGTCTCAATCTGACAAGGTTTTATTTTGTTTTGTATTTTCAGAGAGCTGGCTAACCTTACAGGCTTGATAATTGATGATAGCAAGGTTGGACCAAGAGTCGACGGCGATCAAGTCTACCCAGATGAGTAAGTGTTCATATTTATTAATTTTAGCCATTATATGCAGATAAGACTAAAAAAAAATGATTTCATGTTTCTGGTCATTGTATATGTCAGTTACAAATATTCATATTTCTGACCATCTTACACAAAATAAGTTATTAAGAGAAATATGCACAAAAAAGTCCAGATTATTTTGATGCAATCCTGTAATGCCTAAGCGCATGTTGAACTAACATCAATGTAAGTTTTTAGGGAAGAGTAAATTCTAACAGTAAATGAAGTTAGTATGAACAAAAAAATGTTTTGATGATATAGTAATAGGATCAGAATTCTTTGTGAACTTTTTACCGATTCTATTATTTTTTTTTTTTCAGAACTGATTTATGGTTTTATGGTATTGATCCGAATACCAATGAAATAGTTTCAGCAAAGGATATTTTAGAGTGAGTACATGTATCACCTGATGTTCTAACAACATGAAGATCTGTTTTGAGTGCTTAATGCAAACTCTGCCCTGACATTAACCATCTTTGCAATGTACTGGATTTTCTTATTTTTGCTTTCATGCAAAAACAATTCTTTGAACATGGAAGAATTATTCCTGGTTTGCAATTTAATTCTCTGTGGTTTTCATCTACTAAATTAATTGTCTATTTTTCTGTTTGCCAAAAATTCACAACTTGTTCTGTCATGAATAAAGTTTTTTCCAACAAATACCATATAAGGTCAAACCATCTGGTATTCACCTAACAACTCCTCATCTGTCAACAGTCTCATCAGTCAATCGCCACAGCAACCAGGTGATCTAGACATTGATGATTTCGAGAAGGATTGGAAAGTGACAGAGATAACTGAAATCTACAATAAAGTCAACAAAGTACCAGTGTCCGTGTCTGGAATTGAAGCCGCTCTGTTTGTACTGGGAATCTTTATACTGTTTGCATCTATATTCTCCATTATCGCCGTCTTTGTGTGGTGGGAAAAGTAAGTATTCCATTTATAAGTCTCCTTGAGATGGAATTGTTAAATGTAGTATTTTAATTTTTTTTTCTGTTTAAGTTTCATTCCCACTTTAAATAACATGAATTTTGTAAAACATCTTGTTGTTTTTTTAAATCTATGTGAACATGCAAATTGACAATAGAATTCGTTGTTTCCATTCAAACTTGTGAACTTGAAACCCAGTGAATACTCTCAAAAATATTAAAATTATGAGTGCAATTGAAATATTTTTATTCACAGTATCTTTTCCACACATTTTATCTTGAGAATACTGAACAGTCTTATCAATTATCAATGTAACTTGCTTCAAAGACAAACAAATCTTTCTAATCCAGAGTGTCTGTTGATTACAAGTCAAGCTTAATTTAAATGGCTTGCCTACATTCATATTCTGCGGGTAATTTTGATACGTTGCGAATATGGAAAATAATGAAAATTAGTATGCAAAATTATCTGTTACACAACCAGCACCAATAACCACAGTAGAATGATTTGTAATAAACTCGGGATTTATTAATAACAGAAAGCTTGTTGGCAATCCGGAGACTTACAACACGATATCAACGATATAACACAAATTGTAAGAATGTTGCAGAACTTGCAGTATGCCCTGGATATATACATCGATAAATTCTTGGCCGTGTAAGAAAATTAGTGGGAAAGCTTCTAATTGGATGAATATAAAAATTGAAACAAAAGAACACACTGCGGTGGTTTCTACCACGTTCACATTCATGTCGTCGTCTCACTTCAGAATCCGTATTTTGAAACAATGTATAAGTCAGAATACAGTATTATTGAACTTGTATAAAAACAAAATAAGTAAAGTGATAAATGATTCAGAAATTACTCCGACAACCTATCCACAATCTTAATATTTGTTGATATTGGTCAGTGGGAGAGTGGATGGTACCTCACAGATTTGCAGCATAAGAATGCAACTTTAAAATGAGCCTTGTTGCAAGTTTCCATAGTAATATCATTGAATGCTTCTTTTGCATTCAATTTCACCAGTGATTGTACTATTGTTACTTATAGGAGAGAAGCTGAACGTATATGTAAAAAAGCTTTCTGGATGGATATGTATCCTCTTCCACTTAGTGGAGCTGGTGTAGAAAACCCTGCTTATTTACATGTACTTGCTGAGTCACATATTGGAAACACAAATGCGTGAGTTGCAAAATCCAATTTTTCATATTATATTTTTCCAGTTCTACACTTCCTACCAAAAATGACAAAAATATTCACCAAAATTTGAGAATTGAAGATATCATCATGAAATGAACAAATCTAAAAGGTCTACCCAAGGTACATACACACCAAGTATCGGAGCATTCAGGCTTGTAGTTTTGAAGTAGAAATTGAAAAAGTAAAAAGTTGACACGGACGACGAACAATCACTCATATGATAAGCTCAACTCGACTAAGTCAACAACGGAGCTAAAAACTGCAATTTTACTGCATCTACAATCAAAATCTTAGCATAGTTGTCTCAGAAGTATGGGGTAGAAAACTTGCTCACTAATTCCCTGACAACATTGGTTATGCCTAAAATAGATTTGATCAACACAAACAATTTTGCAGGTTTTTTAGTCTGTAAAACCCCATGAACTTCTTTAAAATGTTCTTAGAGATTAAGCAAGTTTGCTTACTTGGGCCCAATACTTCATACACGTGCTGTGACTGGTTTGGCAACTGCAAGGGAAAATGTGGAAGGAATATTTTGCATAATAATTAGCTAATTTGCATATTTAACTGAATGGTGCCATATAATCGGGGACAAAATGTGTTGGGACAATTAAATAATCTTAAAATTGAAGTCAGATTTTAATTCTTACGTTTAGATGACATAATAATTAAATAATTATCAATGTGATTTTGAATTGTACCCAAAATAATCACTATGATTTTCGCATCCATTTCAAAAATAACAAAACTGACCAACATATTGAATTGGTACTGGCTAGAGCTTGGTAGACTGTGGGTAAATTGAGTTTTTCAACACAAATCTGGCACGTCAACCTCTACCCTAAAGTAATTTATTTGTTCTATTGTCTTTGAAATTTACATACCGTATTATACTCTCTGCCTATATTCTTATGTGTAAAGTCTATCAGAATTTTTTTGCTTTTTCCCTTGCTACTTAAAAAGTTTATTTATTTTCCACCATGTTTCATTTTATCAAAACTAGATTTGAAATAAATTTAAGAAATACACTAATAAACTTTCACTTTTTAAACTATTTTGTTGTCAGTGTTGATGAAACAGACCGTGCTACACTTGATCAAGGGTAAGTATACAGCTATTTATTACCAATATTGAGATTTTTAAATGCTAGAAATATTCACTATAATAATATATTTCAGGGAATTTTCACCTTCATACGTCTGTGCTACCGTACGTCCATCCTTACCTGTATATCTGACATGCTTGGGATGGATTTATTCAAACTTCACATCATACCTAAGCACATGTTTATGATCCAATTCAAGATGGCCGGATGACGGCCATTTTAGTGCTAAAAATTCATAAAAATCAAACATTTCTGCAATTTCATTCAAACTTGGGTCCTTGATGCACATAATTTTTGTTTAAGATCGAGTAGAAAATAGCAGTAAAATTTTACACATATCATATCATACATTAGCACATGCGTAAACATGCGTTCTTGATGCACATTATTTCTCCCTGGATTCAAAATGATTGATGGCCATTTTGTTTTTAACGAATCCTTTTTTAGAGCCATATTGCTAACATGGCTGGACTGATCATGTTCAAACACATTTGCATAACTTACCATTCATTGCAGAACTACTTATGTGACTAGAGCTGGTAAAACATACAAGTTGGGACCAGATGGCGAACCTGTTGAAGTGCCAACTAGTGACAAACTTAGGGAGCCTGTTTATGTGGAGATTGGAACTAGTATGAGTGATGATTGGATACAGGCCAGAATAGTGGAAGGAAGTCTCCCTAACCCACTGAAAGAAGGCATGAGAGACGATGGAGGTTATGAATCACAAGTAAGCTTAGTACTCCAATGAGGGTGGTAAATTTATTCTTTTGATAAATGTTTTGATAATTGAATCACAAGATGACAAAACTACCTGAAGTTGAATAAATAGAAAAACATTGGATATTATTATCATATTTTCGATTAGCCTGTTGATAAACAATATAAAACGGCTAATTGTGATTATATCATCATGTCGCACAAGTAATAAAATTATCGTAAAAGTACATGTATATATAAAGTACAGACAGTACAGCCATTGTGTTGTAGTACCAGCGTATTCTCATGATATATCCTGTTGCAAACTGCAGCATTTCTGTGTCAAACGTAAACAGATAAAAGTGTTTGAATGTGGCGTTTATGTTGGTGATGTACGTAGTTTACCCCAATTACTATCGATAAATGTTTTAATAATAGGAAGAGTTAGTCCCAAACTTGAATGTGTTCGCAAAACACTTGAAAATTTCCCAGAATAGAAGCAGGTTTCTTCACCAATGGGTATATATATCTATTCAGCAATGAAACAGCAATACAGTCTGTGAAATACTTCTCCCATTACATGTACACTGCTCACGAAATCAAGACTAAAAGTACCGTGCACGACCAACACTTGACATCGAGCAGACAACAGAAACAAAGTAACAACGTTCTGGTGCCAACGTAGATGCATAAATTAAGAATCACGTAATATGCAATAAATGTAAACTATTGATTAGAAATAAATGATCATTCAAACTTATCTCCAAGAATTATACATGCAGCAGTGGAACTCGTACATTCATAAAATACAACACAGACGTGTTCCAAAGTTTTACAGACACCTTAGAATGTCTTTATTTTTATGTTTCCCTTTCATAGGAACTAACAATGGATATGTTCATGGATACATCAGATTTCAACGACGATGTAGAAGCTGAAGATCTACTACTTCGATTAGAGTCAGTGGAACCTGTTATTGTCGACAACAAAGGTTTTATCCCAGACACAGGTTTTAGCGAAGGTGTACCCTTCACCAAAGTTTAACATAGGTTATAGTCCTCAGATGAGGTCAATATTAAATTTTATATACCTCAGATGAGGTCAATATCAACTTTTATATACCATTAGGTGTACAACAGCCACCGGACCAATATCCTTTTGCAATATGGGGTGTTGTTGGTGCTGTAGTTTAATTTTATATGCTATTTTTTTTCATTTGCGAGGTCAATATTTACATGATTGTAACTAAGTATTTTTATTCTGTTCTCAAGAAACAGTTGAGGACAAAATAAGTTCTGGAAAATATTTTCTTTTTTTTATCAATTATTTTTTTATATAAAGCGGATGAACTGAAAAATGCATTTATAATAAAATTTAACATATCAGAAAAAGTGTATTTTTTGGAATAATGTCTTGCATGTTACATTATTAATAAGTCGGGTTTTCATAGTAATGATTAATTTATTGTAATAATAATAATACAGTGCCTGTTTTTATTGACAGTACTATACCCATACTGCCTTTAGGGGAACAACTCGTACAAATATGTTAATTGTGAGGGCTTGTCACCCCTACATGAAAATGAATGATCTTAGTTCAGATACATCCTTCTGTATGAGGATAACATCTCAGGTGCTGACTTTAACCTTTTACCGAGTATGTTTTGAATGAATAATAAATTACTGTGCCAAGAACAACAAATTAATATTGAACTAAAACTATGTGAAAAGGTTACTGCAGTTTGGGCTTCCAGTATTTTATCTTGGTTAGTCTTTTTTTGTGAATTTTTATATCAGTCAAGTTTTTGTTTTTACTTATAAAAATGTTATGCAAAGAACATGTATTCAAAAAATCATTTTTGACTATGTCTATGAGAGATGTGGTTATTAGGAGTACTCATTGTATTAAAGGCGGATATCACTGCAGTTGTCTGCCCTTAATTATCTACCCTTGATTTTCATAATATTGTTGTGTCAATTTCTGCCATGGACACCGATTATCTATTCAATACAAGTACAAATTGGAAGGTCATTTTTGGTTTCCCACATTCCAGGCAACAATAATTTCTTTCATTTTTGTTATGCGTGTGTTATGTAATTCCCATAAAGTTTCAGTGCAGTCTTCATGTCTTTAGTTTTAGGAGCCTAAACTATGAATATTAATTAACTCATTTACATATTAATTAAATGCTTTACAAAGGATTAACATTCAGGGACTAACTTAGTATGTAAAAATAATTTAATTAAATGAAAAGATTCATGTAGTTAATTTACATTGTTAAAGTTGCATTCCATGTTACAAATTTTGTGAACCATCACTTCCAGAACCAGTTAAAAATGTAGAATGTGTTAAAAATATGCAATTTTAGTTACGATATATGGGATGGTATCTCAAAGATTTGCAATGCAGGAATGAACAATATTGTAGGTGGGGATGCTTTAAATATTAACTTGTTTTTCCTGAATGCCGATAAATGTTGGTAACATTTCACAAATCAAAGCTGAATAATATTTTTACAGATTAAATTATGTCTATTAAATCCAAAATTAACAGAGATATTATAGAAAAATACACCAAAAAAATATGCAAAATGAAGTACCAAAATCTGGCACTCAAGGGTTATTAACACTCAAAGCGTTAAGCCAACCATTGTACCATTTACTAAAACTTCTTGCTAATTTTTGTAAAAATGTCCAAAAAATGACATTCAAGGAGGTTAGGTTTAGCAAAATAAAATTAATGAGTTATGTTGTACAGGCTGGAACTGTTCATGTTTTTTTTTGAGTTGCATTTATCTCATTTTTATAAAGATACGAGTTGAGTAATTTTAATATAATAATAATCACAAAAATCTTCTGGACATTAATTTTTATTGTCTTCATACAAATTCGTAAGTTTGAAGGTGACAGAAAATACATCTTATTCAACAGTTGTCATGTTTTAAAATTGTAAACACAAACTTTTTTCAGTGCTACACAAATGGTATTTTCACCAATATGAAATTGACTTGTTGCTGTTGTTTTTTCTTTTCTAGTATTTATTGCCGACACAAATATATGCAAGTAAATGTTTGAAGCGGAAGTCGTTTCAAAACTGAATACATGTATCATATATTTGCTTTGTTAGAAGTGAATCTCTACCAACATTTAATATGTGGTATACCGAATTATTTAAATGACATATTTTGCCAATAGTAAACCTGTGTAATGTTTGTAAACATTATTTTAGCAAGCTTGACACGTCTTAGAAATTTACAAATATAACTTGTATTTCTATTGTCTGCAATTTGTTCCTACTTGTTCTTTAATAATATATATATACTAACGAGTTATTACACCTTGACACTTTTTTTTTATAAACCGGATTTTAATCTTTATATTTATGCAAGACTTTTATACTCCTTAATTTTCCATGAACTGTATTTGTATATTTTGGAAGACAATAAAAAATTTTATATAATATTTTATGTATTTACAGAGTGTTACATTATCCTGGTTTGCTAAAGGCACCCTCTACAGTCAAAATATGACATATCCTCGGGGCGGAACTACGTCACAAGACGTTCCACGTTGCTAAGTCGCGCACCACTGTACATGCATTTCTATGGGCTCTGTGCGCGCTGCTGTGGAACGCCGAGCAAAGAGTCGGTGAAAATAGCTAAAATCAATGAAACGGCACTAACTCAACCTAGAGGTAATTCTAAACAACCAAATTTATATATGTTGCACACACAGGGGCAATCTTGTTGTACCGTTTTCTGGGAGTTTTGGTGATGATTGCCATGTGGTGAAAATGCCAGGATGTATGCGCCCGATAATATGAATGGTTTATTGACATATTCCCACTGTAGTTAAGTTTCCCACTGTATTTGGGTGAGCTAGTTGAACTTTACAAGTTTCTAACAGTGGACCCCCGATTTGTTCCTATTTTACTTTACAACTTCAAGTGTTGTGTCATATAAGGGCAATATGAATATAGAAGCTATCGGTACGAGTTAAACTATTAATGAATAACAAATTTAAGTCACTAACATTTTTTCAAAATAGGTATTGTGTCTGATGACTTCAGAATGATCTGTGCAAAGCTTGATGGGTAATTATCTGGCGGCTTCTCTGTTTACCTCTCAACTAATTTACGCTTCTGTTTGCCTAGTTTCAACTAAATTTTTAAGTTTTAGTAAACTGAAATATACTTGTATATCTTCAGTGGTTCAGCATCAAGAATGTGCTAGAGAATGTTCCGACACAATTTATTTTTGGTGCATAGGTCTGTGGTCTGTGAGCATGATTGTTTCAAAATAGAGAGCTTGGTTTATCTCATCATGCATATTTTGATGGAGTTCATCTTGGCACAAAATCACTTTCACACTCAAAATTTGCAAATTATTTTAAATTTAATTTATGATAGAAAACATGATCTACATTCAAGTCATTAAAAATGTATAAAATCTACAATTCTTAGAACATATGAAATGTATTGCACTCGCAATATGACAAGTAAACATCTTCAAATACAAGATCATTTTGCTTAAAAATAAAATTTCACGCACAAATACTGCTGCGAATTAAATTTCAGGAAGTTCTGAAACACTATTTTCTGTTAATGTATACGAGTAAATTATATCACATTGATCGAGTCATATCTTAAAAACATTCCCACAATTGTGTACATTTGTGATGTCGTCGCCATCATCATTCTACATGTATTCTGTTTTCATAACACTATTTAACTTCAAATACAGAGGAAGTTCCAAGAAACTGCTTAATTCCTCCCAGAACATGTTTTGCATAAGCAGAGTGTTGAATCCGATAGGATCCTGGTTTTGCGTTACTTGGTATATCCCAGTAAATAGTTGCATCACTTTCACCAAGCAAAATGTTTTTACGAATCCATTCATAGCTATGAAAATGAAAAAAAAAAGTTACACCAATCAGTGTGACTGTCACTTACCCAGTACACCAATCAGTGTGACTCACTTTGCCAAATATGCAAATTATCATTGTCACTAACCAAGTACACCAATTAACATATCTGTAACTTAACAAGTAAACCAATCAGCATTATTGTAACTTACCAAGTTCGCCAATCACACCAATCAGCATCACTGTTACTTACCGAGTACACCAATCAGCATAACAGGTCACTTACCAAGTACATCAATCAGTATCACTGTCACTTACCGAGTACACCAATCAGCATCATTGTAACTTACCGAGTTCAGCATCACTATAACTTACCAAGTACACCAATCAGCATCACTGTCACTTACCAAGTAAACCAATCAGCATCATTATAACTTACCAAGTACACCAATCAGCATCACTGTCACTTACCGAGTACACCAATCAGCATCATTATAAACTTCTTGCCACTGACTATCATTCTCCTTGAATTGAACACTCAGATAAGTGTCTTCCAGCTGTCAATAAATTGCACATATTATATGATCAGATTTCTTTAATTATAAAAACAAAAGAATAAGAAAAGTCTGTCACAAGGGGTATGTTTTATTAAAAGAAGACAGACTTTATATTTAAAATCCTTACATGTGGACTGTTCCTTGGATTAGCAGTAACAAATGTAACATTGACATTAGAATTCTGAAAAGAAAGAAAAATTATAAAATACAAAAAGGTCATCCATAAAGTGGTAATAATTTTTAATAATAGTTGGTGAGATTAGTGAAAAACTAACTTGAAAAACAAATCAGTATCACCCTGCCAATAATGTTTCATTTACTTAAAAATATTAAGATGCAACGTGTCAATTTACAGTTTTATTCACACCTTGTAAGTCTGCCCAATATATACACCCTGACATCATATGCTGAAGTTGTGGATTGGTAAGGAGAAATTAATATGAAGTTAAATTAAGTTCGGAGGTTTTGTTCATCTTAAACCAGATACATTATATGCATGTTTGTCTAAGGAATAAGAGCCTCCAGAAGTTGGGTATAGTGGTCAAGACATCTAATTAAAATATGTCAAATAAACAACATTATTTTTACACTTTTTAGCTCGTTGTGAGAAATGTTCCACTGAAAACATCTGTGATTATCTTGTGTACTCGATTCGCAAGGCGCAATAACAAGTTTATCATGGCCTTTTATAGATTTTTCATTCTAACATACCTTTGTATACACTGGTAGTACATCACTTAACACATCTCCAAAATTTTTGAGAAGTGGTGGTCTGTCAAAAAATACAGGAGGAAGCAGCGATATCTGTTCTTGTAACATAAAAGGTGGAGCGGGTCCTGGATCTACTGTTGTATCCTAACAAAGTAAAGTTATGAAAGATCAAATCAGGACTACGTACATGTACTTTATCCTGTCAAGTGTTACTGAGTCAATATTTTAAAAGCATATAATCAAACTACAGAACAACTTTTACTTTATATTACGCATGTAGACAAAATTTATAAGGGGTTTGGTATATGCTAGCTTATGTTAATTACAGTAAGTCGCACCTAAGTAAGTCATGGTTTCGGCTAAGTTGAGGATGGTTCCCAAAAATTCAGTGATTGTGTTTTGCCAGAAGTTTTAAAGAAAAAGAACTGCTGTTTCATTGCATCCTGGAGGAGACAATTTAACACCTACTGGCTGAGATACTGAGGTTCCCATTGATAAAGCTCTATATATGTTGTTTAATAAAGAAAACATACTATAAATAAACCCATGCGAGTATACATATATGTGCTTTTTATCCATTTTCAATGCATAAACCCCCTTTTCATGAGATCCCTCAATAAGTTACAACCCTTGACTTAGTGAGGGGCCACAGTATATGGAAAGCAGGTATTATGCTCATTTTGGAATACGGTGATAATCTAGTTTATTTCTGTTCACATCACCTTTGGTTTAAATACATTAATTCAATTGATGTGTGCATGGAACTCTCAAGATTGTTTTATATTGATCACATATCACTGTACATAGATATCACATACAGTTACATACCCTTATCATATAAATCCTTGCTACTGTAAAAGGTTTAATTTGTCAGCATTTGTGAGGAAAAAATAATTGCTGTGACTTGCATATTAATCACTACAATCATTTTGATGTGTTATTCCTTAGTTTTGACAAAAAATATTCAAATCTTTTGAATATTTAAAACTAGCAGCCTGTTGGCTGATATAGCTCCTCTGTTTGTGATGCATGCTCTGAAAGCAATGACTAAGAGTCAATTTAAAATTAATGCTAGCTGCTTTAATATCGCAAGACACCAACTTTCTTGATTTTGTTGCAAAGAATATTTCACTAAATGTAGAGAATTGAAGATATCTTTACGAAATGGACAAATCTAATAGAGAAATCAAAGAATTTGGACTACTGGTTTTGAAGGACAAGTCAAAAAAATTTTTTTGATGAAAAATGACGAAAATATTTGCTAAAAATATAGAATTGAAGATATAGTCATGAAATTAACAAATCTGACTGAGATCCACCCAAGGTACCTACAAATAAATTTACAAAGCAATCAGGTTGGAGGTTTTCAACAAGAAGTTGAAAATAACATTTTTATGAAAAATTACACAAATATTCACTAAAATTAGAGATTTGAAGATATCGTCATGAAATTACCAAATCTGACAGAGATTCACCTGATACACCTACATATACAATATCAAAGCAGTTTTCAAGGAGAAGTCGAAAATATAATTTTTTACCAAAAATGACAAAAATATTCATCAAAATTAGAGAAATGAAGATATCATCACGAAATAAACAAATCTGAGTAAGGTACATGAAGATACCTACATACCAAGTACAAAGTAAGCATTTGGGCCAGCGGTTTTCAAGAAGAAGTCGAAAATAGCATTTTTGATCAAAAATGACAAAATTTGCTATAAATAAGACAATTGAACATATCCACCCGAAATGAACAAATCTGAGAGAGAAGCACCCAAGGTACCTTCCTAGAAAGTTTCACAGCTATACAGTTTTAGGTTTTTAAGAAGAAGTCGAAAATGTAAAATTGACGGTGACGACGGCAACGACGGACAATCAGTAATACTATAAGCTCTGCTCGACTTTGTCGACAGCGGAGCTAAAAAAATCAATTTCTGTCTGTGTAGACTTGAAAAGTTTTCTTTCCCTATAAACTGAAAAATCTTCTCAGTTCTGCGAGATAGATTTCACTGTTAAATTAAAAATACCTTTGCTAAAGCTGCTGCAAGAATTTCAAACTGTTGTTTATAGGCACTCAGAGTATGGGGGCCATATATAGTAGAAGCACCTTCATAACGTTGTACCTAAAGTAGAAATATCAATGTTAGTAAATAAAGACAATCTACATTCAAATATACACATGTGCAGATGCTTCATCACTGCAATAATGTAATTTTATTACACAATTTAACAAGCAGTCTCTCAGATGAGTTAGCTCTGCTGTTAGCAATGCACATTTTAATTAAAGAAATGAAGATATCATTACAAAATGAACAAATCTGAGAGAGGTCTGCCTGAGGTACATATATGTAATATCAAAGCAATTAAACTTGCATTTTTTAACAAGAAGTCGAAAATATCACATTTTACAAAAAATGGCAAAAATATTCACTAAAATTAGAGAATTGAAGATATCATCACAAAATGGACAGATCTAAGAGAGGTCTGCTCAAGGTACATATACACCAAGTAACAAAGCAATAAGAATTGTAGCTTTCAAGAAGAAGTGGAAAAAGTAAAAAGTTGACATGAACAACGAATGACTTCAGACAATCACTCATATGATAAGCTCCACTCAACTAGCTAAGTCGACAGGGAACGACATTATCTAACTACAGTATGTATTGGAAACACATCAACAATATAACAAATATAGACCACCATTTATTGAATTTATTGCATACTCATTAAAAACAGTCATTAGTCAATACGTCATTTACATCATTTATGCATTAGTAAATGAGCAAATACTGTATTGGTGCATGCAAACATTACCTGGGGTAAAGTGTCAATAGATGTCATTTATGCACTGGCAAATACTGTAATGGTTCATGCAAACATTACCTGGGGTAAAGTGTCAATAGATGTCATTTATGCACTGGCAAATGAGCAAATACTGTATTGGTGCATGCAAACATTACCCGGGGTAAAGTGTCAATAGATGTCATTTATGCACTAGTAAATGAGCAAATACTGTATTGGTGCATGCAAACATTACCTGGGGTAAAGTGTCAATAGATGTCATTTATGCACTAGTAAATGAGCAAATACTGTATTGGTGCATGCAAACATTACCTGGGGTAAAGTTTCAATCACTTACATGGTAGAATGATGATCAGTGGGATAAGGTGCCAAGTTTGTCTAGGTATACTGGTCAGGTACATACGAGCTTAGCTTGAATACACACATGTTTATGAGAATGATGTGCAAACAGTTTCAGTGATAATTGGTTCAACAAACTAATTAAGTTGAGAGAATACAACCATCACCAAGGGAGGTTATTAATGGAGGTTATGGAGTAGGCTAAAAAAAGAACAAATTAAATTGTCAAGATGAAGTAAACTTGAAAATACTTACCTGGTATTCTTCAAATGTTGTGATGTAATGTGTATAAACATTAGATAATCCTGCAATGACCACATGTGTATCTGATGGCCAGCCATTGTCTATTAATACCTATAGAAATGATATATATTTAGTATCACCATACCTCCATGGTATCACGTATAGTGTATATGCATGGTGACATAATATACTGATCCTGTATGTAAAGACATATGACAATGCATCAATATATTTGTGATATACCGATAAGTCAGTTTTAGAAATGACACTTACCTTCTTTACACCATCCCTCAATCTTCTGCCAGACATAGTGCTGAAAGGAATGCAAATGGAAACACCTATAATAACCAGTAATAATGTTTGTATATGTTGTGCAATGTGGTTATTTACAGCGTAATACTGGAGATAACATTATAGTATTGCAAATCCAGTATTAATATTGTATCAGCGAAAAAACAAACACTGACACTGCATGACTACAATGAAGAGGGCCAGCATGATGAGAAGAAATGCCAGATTTACATACCATGGTATGACAGGTTGAAGAACAGTGTGACAATTATTGTGCATACTAGTGTTCTCATTAATGCTGTGTAATACTTGATATGGCTGACATACAATGTGATTTGTAGATTTACTGATTACAAATTAAACTAACAAATGTTAAATATCCTTTCAAAATATAATTTCTTGCAACATGTGTTCAGTTTCTTGGTGTGGAATGAATTTCTCAAAATATTTGTTAAGACAGTGATACACAGCTGATATCACAGTTATTATACATTCAATTCTTCATCATTCATAACATACGTCTGCAATATGACAATTATTCCTAAATAGCCGATGAGATCTTGTTGAGATTTTAAAAGCAATTAACACGACTTATTTCTAATGTCATCATGTCGATTGTACCAAGGCTGTGAAAACCATGAACATAGATGCGATGCCAGGCTTTAGAGACAGGAACAACATTTGGTTAGTCAAAACAAGACATGTCTGACTTGATCTCTCTTAACACGATCTTAGCAATTTCATATCATTAATATCATATCATATGCCTGTGTACTGTCTGAGTGCATACATTAATTGCGCTATCCTCATTCATGTATATCAAATCTAGTTTTACACCTGCTGTGGTACAAATTATAAGAATGTCATACCTAAATTCTCCAGGTACGGCTACAATCGCCAAGCTACCAATCTGAAATATCTGTGTATCCACAATATCAGGATGCCATGGATACGGTTTCTTCAACTGTCAATTTAAAGTTATAAAATGAGTGTGCTGTTAATAAGAAAAGTTTCTATATTTTCACATTTCTGTTGCCTTAATTTTTCTTAATTTAAAAAAGTTTCGAAACACCTGCATCTTTTTCCACTGGGAGAATGCAAAATTGGTGACAATCATCTTCAATGTAATTAAAGTTTTTTATTGTAACATTGAAATCCAAATCCTTAGTCAAATAAAACCAAATTTTAAGTCAGTTTGAGCCAAATTCAAACTTTGCGCTACTGAACATATATAACTTCATATATATACAATGCATTATGGGAGATAACCTCCCATACTTTACAAAATAGAAAACCAGTATCACACTGGAAATGTTTTTAAATGGTTTTACAATGTTAGATTTCATATCATTTAAAATATATTATGACTTTTTCAGCCAATGTCATCGAGTAACATTTTGAAATATGAATAAATAATCTCACCATAGAAACCAGTACAAAAATGAAAATTTTGACCATTTACTTATGATAATTCATATTTTTATAACTCTTTAAATGAAGTTGGATCATTCTGTGATGTTGCTTTAAACTGATATATTTATGCTGCTTTCATGATTTGATACGATGAAATTCATAAAGATGAAATTTTGCTTAACATTCTCACCACTATTTCCCTCTTTTTATTACAAATTCACATTTATAGTCTGCATTTTCTTCCAGAAGATTAAGACAAAAAAAGCCAAATTTTTTGAGTAAAAACTGAAAATTTACTCAAATTTTGTCTGTTGGCTCCAAAATTAGAGTTCATTTCCAAAAATATTGAAGAATATAGGGAAAAAATGCAGAATAATTAGGCATGAAAGTCTGGTGGTGAAAATGTTTAAATTAAATACAAAATGTTCCAGCTTTCCCTCGACTTGAGAATTCAAAAAATAAAGATAAATGTATTCATGCATTGTTACATTTGCTTCTTCCTTCAAGTCATTAATCAAATTACGATAATTAATTACTTTAATGAGTAAATATATTGTGAACACCGACAACAATATTCACACACTGAATCATTTTATTGGCGAGTCAAAACTAAACCACTACATACCTCCCCAGTTGGCAGTAATATTGGTTTAGGTTGATGACAGTCAATAAGTTCCTGTGATGGATCATGGATGAAGTCCCTCACTGCATCCCAGAAAAAATTACCTTCAGTAGATCCTAAAAAATAAATTGATGGTAATTACATATACTGTGAAATATTTTATTTTAGCTGGAATTAATTTTTGCTGAATAGACTTTTTGGGTGTTTTTATGGAATATATTTTCACAGATTTTTGACAAGTTGAATGTAAAATATAGAAAAAAAGGTATATTCGCTGGATTTTATTTTCACTGCATCATTCCTTCAGTGAAAATAGTGACAATTAATTCTGAGCGAAAATAAAGTATTCCACAATACATACCAAAACAATTGTTCTCTACTAGCAGTGAGGTGGATTCATTAATGTTAAATCAAACATAGATGTATCCTCGGGGGCGGAGCTACGTCACAAGACGTTCCACGTTGCTACGACGCGCACCACTGTACAAGTATTTTTATGGGCTCTGTGCGCGCTGCTGTGGAACGCCGGTCGAGTCGGTGAAAATTCGAGAAAACAACACAAACTCAACTTTGAAGTAATCCCGAACAACCACATTTATATATGTTACACACGTAGGGCTAATCTTGTTACACTGTTCAGAGGAGTCTCAACAATCATCCCAAAATACCGTTTTCTGCGAGTTTTGGGCCTACATGTATGTTTTCACCGCCTCCGGTTGCCAGACGGTGAAAATGCCCGGATGTCCGCCCCCCGAGGATAGTTCATAATGACAAGTACATTGGTATTGTGTGGTCCCGGTGTCTGGTCTTCTTATATTTTATTTAAAAAAACAAGACACTTCGCGATGAGCGTCTTTTGCGGTCAGT